TTTTTTTCTTTTAGTATCTTACAGTTCTTCAAAGTGGCAGCTTTGAGTTTATCACAAATCTGTTGTACATATGAGACCTCACTGTACATGTGACAGGGGCTTGCTAGAAAATTCTGTTTTCATTTGGAGATACGTATGTTTCATCTGGTGTTTTATGTACAGTGAATTTAGTAATGATACAATGTTGGCTTGATAGCCTAGGAGACTGGACTAGTAACAGAACAGGTACAGCTTACAGAGCTGTTGTAAAGGCTTCCTACAAATGTCTTGTCAATATACCTCAACCCAGACCTTGAGGGACCACATATAGGGGTGTGGTGACTGCTCAGATTTCATTCCCATCCAATTCTTGTCTTTTCAGTAATAAATAAATTAAAAAAAAATCACATTTTAACGTGGACACGAATTCACACACAACTTGACTGACACCAACTTTTTCACTGACCATTGACAGATGGCATTACTACCCTGGGACAGATTTAAGCACACAGACGCAGGTCAAAGGATTTGGGCCCAATTCATGAATCTGGTACATATCCTTTTGTGCTGCTCTACCAGTTTGATAGGGCTATAAAACAAGCAAAGTAGAAAGCTGGGAATTCCACTGTATACAGGGAATGGCTAGAGTATCTCTATCCACCTCTACCCCGATAGAACACTGTCCTCAGGAGCCTAAAAATCTTACCGCGTTATAGGTGAAACTGCATTATATCGAACTTGCTTTGATCCGCCGGAGTGCACAGCCCCATCCCCCTGGAGCACTGCTTTACCACGTTATATGCGAATTCGTGTTATATCGGGTCGCATTATATCTGGGTAGAGGTGTACTTCTATTCTCTGATGGAAGGGCCCATTGGGGCCCTAAGGAGCTGGGTTGTAAGATGCAGCAACACTGAGATTCCTAGATCAGGGAACTACAAGAATGGCATACCCTTTCTTGGGTCCTGTGTGAAGCAGAGCTTGGCTGGGCTTAGGAATTAGGGCCGCCTTATACTTTTATTACCAATATACCAAGTCAGCCCCTCCCCCACTTTCCAACCAGCTATTTCAATTATGCAGGACTAGTATAAAAAGCAGAACCATGAAGGCTGGCACTGGAAGGATCTTGTTGGAACCACAGGCATTTATATATATGGTGTGTCAATTAAAATGTGTAAAAGCTATGCTTTATCCCATATGTTAAGTGGCTTATTCTTTACTTCCACTCACAGATACTCCACTTTACTTAATAATCAGACATCTTTCTTTACCGATTTGGGTTTAGACTTTACAGGCTAACTGAGAAAACGTGGACAAAAAGTATGCACTTGATATTAATAAAGTGTATATATAGTGAATCATAACTGCTGACAATATTTTTAATCAAAATTCTGCAAATGACAAATACCAAACAATGTTTTCATGTGAGCTGTAGATGTAAAATAGTATTTGTTAACACTTAGCCACAAGCATGTACATAGTGGTGAAGAGACATAATGAGCCCCTATCTAATTAAAAATATATTTATTTCATTACCAATTTACCAATATATATCTTTAGAGACCAAATCAGCTCTTTTCTAGGAAGTATGCAACAGGCATAATTTAAATACAGAATTCCCACATCCTGGCACTTGAAAAATTTCATGCTTGTTTTATTTTTAATTTCAAACATCATTGCACCAGGCTTCAAGTGACAAACTAGCTTTTCCTTGAATGATCTATTTAACACTGCTCTAGCCTGAAGAACTGATGCAGCATTCTGGAACTTTTAAATGCATTCTTTTGGTTCTTTTCAAGCTTCTTTACTGACTTGGTTTGAGGGGATTTTATACAACTGTATTAGTACAAAAAGGTAAACTGACCTTTAGCGATTAATCTCTCAACTGACAAAGTGCATGGAAGAAAATACACAGCTATGCAAATGCATGCTTAAAAAGGACTACTTTTCAAAGTTAGGTGATATTATTTTATGGCACTTCTATCCAAAGAAATAGGTCACAGCTAGACTCATTTGGCCTCTTGAGGAACTTTGGTATTTCATCCTATAAATCTGTCATGATATTGTCTTACTGTAACTAGAAATAATGGTTGAAAGGGGATTACATGACTTGTATAAGAGAAATGCCTGAGAAGGGTTTCTAGAGTTAGCAAATTCAGTAATCTGAAGGCTTTGCTCCTGACTATAATCATGTCAAAATAAAGTTCTATCAGAAAGCAATGATCCCAGAGCTTTTTTGTAATATTGTTGCAAAGCCTTCCTGTTTGCGTAAGTTTATAAGTTTCACTCTTCAGTTTCCTTATTTCTATCAATTTTGTAGCAGAGTGTGGGGGATGTACTGGGGCTGCTGAATGTGGCGTAGCATTTTGAGTTTCTGAATTTTATTTATAGACCACAGAGCCTTTTCCTTGATGGCTGCTCAAGTTATTTTAATAAAATAAATATTCTTTATAGTATCGGTCTTTCCAGATAATATTAGATTTTACTAGATTCTATATGTATTACTCATACATTTTGGAGTTTTCACCTCAATGCTAAAAAAAAAAAAAGTGTAGAAATCCTGTATGGTACTTTTAAAATAACACACTTTTCTCAAATTTATAAAAATAAAAATATATTTGACCTTTGAAACTGCTCTCAAAGAAAACTTAATGGTTATTACACAGGTACTAATATTTTAATTATATAGACTGCTCAGCTTCCAACAAGGTATTTCTTATTTGTAGATTTTTTCCCTTTCCATCTTCTTGATGATAATCTTTCTGATCTTGTTTGCCACTGGTATCATCAACTAGGCCTTTGAGCCGGGACAAATGGTGTAAAGCCCTACATTTAAAACAAAAACAAAAACAAAATAACCACCCTTATCAACAAGTATATATTATGATTTAAGTTACGTATATTTAACAGAAATGGCAGTACTTCATTAACACCACTTAATCAGTTTTGAGGCATCTCTTCAGATTAATACATGTTGACATGTAAAACTGTGAAAACAAATTAAACATTTTGTTAAATGCTGATTTAAAGGGACAATTCAACTGTAGACATACTTTCATGACACTGCATTTCTTCATTTTTTCTACAGATGTCTATTTTTCCTATTTATAACTGTTAAAAGCAAGAAAGGACAACATTTTAGTCTGCATTATATAAAAAACATCAGCTTCTTCTAGGGTCAATGATTTTGCCTAGCAGCATACTTAATACTTTAAATTTTATAAATCTGAATTGCCAACTTCTGACTTGATATTATTTCCATTTTAGTCAACGAGTTTTAATGGAGAGGACTGGTCCTTTCTTTTCATTACTTTAAGAGAATGAGATAGTTTATAAAAAAAAGAACTGCAGGGTGATGTGTGGGGTGGTGGTGGGGGTCTCCACCAAGTATGGCATGCAACTCTTTGTAAAAGGGACAGATCTGTGGCTTGGCACCATATTGTTGGCCTCCCTGGCCTTGTGACACGTCTGTTGCTGTTTCTTTGCTTTCTCATAGCACTGCTGCTTATCCCTGTTGTACCCTTTCTCCTTCATTCTCTGTGCTATCTGCTAGTAGATGTTCACATTTATACGGCTGTTCCATAGCTGTGCCTGCACAGCCTCTTCTACCCACAGGCCCAGGAGATCCGGTCTACTCCAAGTTGGGACATGTACCCAGCATGGTTAGCTGGGCAGTTGCGCACAGCAATGGAGAGCTACCAGGTGTGCCAAGCTGGACAATTAGGAAAAGGCATTTCAAAAATGTGCAGGGCTTGAAAGGCAGGGAAGTGGGATGCCTTCCGGTCACTGTGACCCCGGGGGGTGGAGTTCACAATTGTGACCAGAGTGGTCAGTTTCAGGCATTGTGGGACAGCTGCCGGAGGACTGATAGGGTCAACATAGGTAATGCAGTGTCTATATTCACGCCGTGTCAACCCCAGTACATTGACCATAGCTCAGTTGCCACTTGGAGAGATGGCGTTACTATGTCAGCATAATGGAGTGCTTACTTCAGTGGGAGACAAATTTAAGCATGCACAAATGCACAACTAGGTCCATGCAAGGAGGCTTACATTGCTCTAACTTTGTAGTGTAGACCAGGCTTTGGTCTAAAAGTCAAATTAGGATGCTAAAGTAGTGCACTATGTTAGGAAATTATTTCTGTACCTAAGTTATATTTTCACTTTTTACATTTTACTTTTATTTAACATTTAACAGTGAAGATGGACAGTTTGTCGAAACAGAATTATACTCTAGCAGTTATTAAGTTAAAATGATTCTATTATGAAGTCTGTTTTTTCCATTCTGCCTTTTGGTGTTCAAGAGGTTTCCAACTAATTTAGGAGCATTTATTTAAATGGGACTCGTGTTTATTTCATGTACAGAAAATCTTTTCTCAAGTAAGCTATTCATTATGATGCTTCCCTGTCATGCAGCAATGAAGATTTCCCACACAAATTGTTTTCTGGAAGGACCAACTCTATGGTTACTCTTGATGCAACAGTATGCTTCAACACACACATCATCAAATTACATTGGCTACTTTTCCTACCACACTGCATTACAAGTTCATATCTAATTTTTCTGCCCACGATTCCCGCCAAGTTTCTTTCTTCAACCCATCGAAAGTTATACTCTAACATGGCTATTCCACTTTTTTAAAAACTGTTTTCTAGGTGGAATCACTTTTTTAAAAATGTCCTTGTCCCATATTTCTAACTTCTCCAAGTTTTTATTACTTCAGTTTTCACCTGCAAATTTTATAAGACTCCCAGAAGAAATAATGTAAATATTATGATAAAACCCTACAGCAGCTCACTAGATACTCCTTAGATCCATAAATTGCTATGTATTTTTAGTATTTACAATTAACTTGTGTTTATACATCAGCTAGTTTCCAATCCATGTGATAATTCTCATATCCAAACTAATTTATATTATTTTTCCAAGCAAGACTTTGAGACAGGAGAAATTAATTATGCGGAGTAAGAGAATTAGTACACTTACCTTCGAAGGGACTTGGTAATAGGGATCACAACATTGTCACATTGCTTTAATTCAGAAACTGCTTCTTCTGAAAGCTTAAAAAAGAAATCTGTCAAATATAAACAAATGACTAACAGGACAGATATGAATAGTTTACATTTATATAGCATCTTTCACCCCATAGGGTCTCTGACAACTTTACAAATTATACACATACTATAAGGTTCAGCTTGTTCGCCACTGAATCGAGCTTTGTGGGTGAAGTAGAAGAGTTTAACACATTGCAACATAACAGTCTTCAATACCTGTTCCTAATTTGCATCAAATTCACTTGAAACTGCAGAAAAATTAAGGTAGCAAAATGTTATTGCTTAATTCAAAACAGGGTAAGCATAGTATGGATAAAATTCCTTGCCCTGGTGAAAATTGCCATGTCTGTTAAGGAGTGGTCAGGATATTTTTGTTAGAACACATTATGCATGAAAGACAGCATCTCTAGCAGCACAGTACACCCTAACAACTGCTGGCCTCATTGGAAAAGTGTTTTAATTCACCTTCTGAATTAAACACTACTTGTAGCACATGTTCTTTGAAGTCTTCCATCCAGTTACTGACCTGCTCCAACATGGCTTTGGGAGATAGGACAGGATACTAGCATAATGTGACAGGCACATGGTAAGTAACAAGTAGGCAAAGAATTTCTAAACAGATGTTATTAAAACATTTTGTTTCTGTAATATAGGACAATTAAATGCATTTGAGCATGACTTTTCTTCATCTAAATATATGCTTAGAGGCTTTCCACCTTTCTGATGCAATTATAAAAAAGCAAATCCAAATATTAGGTAACGTATCCCTTTAATCCGAAACGCCATGTTTCTCATGTAACTCCTTTTCTTCCTGTGCCTAAGAAGATACTGTATAGGGTGAAATTTTCCTATTATATTCAAAATCATAGAATCATAGAATATCAGGGTTAGAAGGGACCTCAGGAGGTCATCTAGTCCAATCCCCTGCTCAAACTAAATCATCCCAGCCAGGCCTTTGTTAAGCCTGACCTTAAAAACCTCCAAGGAAAGAGATTCCACCACCTCCCTAGGCAACCCATTCCAGTGCTTCACCACCCTCCTAGTGAAAAAGTTTTTCCTAATATCCAACCTAAACCTCCCTCACTGCAACTTGAGACCATTACTCCTTGTTCTGTCATCTGGTACCACTGAGAACAGTCTAGATCCATCCTCTCTGGAACCCCCTTTCAGGTAGTTGAAAGCAGCTATCAAATCCCACCTCACTCTTCTTTTCTGCAGACTAAACAATCCCAGTTCCCTCAGCCTCTCCTCGTAAGTCATGTGCTCCAGCCCCCTAATCATTTTTGTTGCCCTCCGCTGGACTCTTTCCAATTTTTCCACATCCTTCTTGTAGTGGGGGGCCCAAAACTGGACATAGTACTCCAGATGAGGCCTCACCAATGTCGAATAGAGGGGAATGATCACATCCCTCGATCTGCTGGCAATGCCCCTACTTATACAGCCCAAAATGCCGTTAGCCCTCTTGGCAACAAGGGCACACTGTTGACTCATATCCAGCTTCTCGTCCACTGTAACCCCTAGGTCCTTTTCTGCAGAACTGCTTCCTAGCCATTCGGTCCCTAGTCTGTAACAGTGAATGGGATTCTTCCGTCCTAAGTGCAGGACTCTGCACTTGTCCTTGTTGAACCTCATCAGGTTTCTTTTGGCCCAATCCTCTAATTTATCTAGGTCCCTCTGTATCCTATCCCTACCCTCCAGCGTATCTACCACTCCTCCCAGTTTAGTGTCCTCTGGAAACTTGCTGAGAGTGCAGTCCACGCCATCCTCCAGATCATTAATGGCAAATGGCAAAAGATACCTCATATTGGCTTACATGTTCAGTCTACACATCAGTGTGTTTGAGTTAAACAGATCAAATTACTAGCCTTACACTAAAAATGATGGAGACCCCCTTCAGAGGCACTGTAGTAGCTAGCACGAAGTTTTGAAGACAACTGGTGAGAGGAAGTATTCTGGTTTCATGTAACTGAGGAAAAGAGAACTCTCAAACTACTAAAGGTCTGAGAAAGAGTCTGAAGCAGGGAAGGATGCACAGATGATTCGCATACAGTTGTGTGTAAGCCGAAACAGCAAAGAACACTTAAAAATATTAATATACAAAGATATTAAACATTCTAGATCTAAAGCAGACATTTGAATTCTAGAACCAAATTAAATGTATGAACTGACCAATAGATGAGTGAAAGCTTATTAAAAAGAAACAAATTTAGAGCTAGATAAAGGATAGAATAAAATATCTCCGGATACCTAGCCCTGTTCTCTTAAATACAGTATATCATCTATCCAATCTAATATGAAAGAAACCAAAAGATGAGAGTGGGACAGGAAGTTGGACATAATCTTGCAGTCTGATGTGGCAGAAAGAGTCAGTAAGAAATTATGGACTACATGTAAAGAGTCACATCAAAAACATGACAGTTTTTGTCCATATGGTTTGGGTGGTGACCACATTTGGAATATTAATTTCTGAATATCTCTTTATAAAAGATATTTTGATAAATCAAAGTTCACTAAAGAGGTAAAAATAAAAAAAGGGGGGGGGGGAGAAACTGACTTCGGCCCCAATTTAGGAACACGCTTAAGAACATGCTTAAGTACATCCTAATTCAATAAAGCACTTAGGCACGTGCTTAGTGATAAATACGTGCTTAAGTCCCTTTGATTTCAATAGGTTTAAACATGTGTTTAAGTGCTTTCCTGAACTGGGGCCTTTATGGGAAAAGGATTAAAAGCAGACCACCAAAAAATTTTGAATGGGAGTGTGGACCCCTTTGGAAATCTTAAATATAGTCTGTGGACCCCCGGGGGTCTGCAGAACACGGGTTGAAAACCATGGTAATAATATGTACAATATGCCTAACGTTTAACAAAGGAAGGGCATATTTACACTCTTCAGATACTTGTACCCTGTTAACACCAAGGAGGAGAGAGAAAGAGAGAATGATGTAGGGTGGTCCAAGGGGCTACGAGTAGTGGTTTGAAATTAAGGGGGAATTGTAGGCTGAATACTGAGTATCAGGAAAAAAACTTCCTAACATGGAGCTCCATTAGGTTCTCTCAACACAACTGGTACACCACTTGCGACAGAGTTACAGTAGACTGGATAAAACAGTAGAAAACTGGGAACAATACTGCACTGTCAAATATATGAACCAGAAGACAAAATAGGTCTTTATCTCCAATTTGAATGAATATGGGTAACTGTGCTCACATCTTTGTAGGCTGGTTCTTACAAGTACAGTCCCACAGAAAACTTAGACAGGATATTAATATCAATAAGACCCAATATCAAGAAGAAACTGCTTACTTTTTTTAATTCATCATTTTGCTCACCAGTTTTATTCTTGTTAAAGCTTTCATGAACAGCTTGTAGGTTGAACAACATTAGCTTTAAAGCTTCAACTGGCCCATGGTGGTTACCTCCAGAAAATGTATTTTCCTAAAACCAAAAAGCAGAAAGATTTTAGATCTTGCAATGAAACAAGAGCTGTAACATTTTAAAAATCAGACCTGCTACTTTTAATTTTTCTTTAGGACAATTTGATAGTTGTGACCTATGTGGATTTTCCACTACTTTTTTGTCAGCCTATATAGAAATAGCATATAGAGGGCCTCATTCCCAACTACATCAATTTTATGGCACTGTAGCCCATAGAACCAACGTAGGTACAGTGCAGTAGACCTTGAGTAACAGAGGATATGTCTACACTGCAGTTAAACACCCGCAGCTGGCCCAGGTTTGCAGGGACTGGCCAAGGGGCTGTTTAATTGTGGTGTAGGTATTTGGATTTGGGCTAGAACCCAGGCTCTGGGACCCTCCCACCTTGTGGGGTACCACAGCCCGAGCATCAGCTGGAGCCTGAACATTTATACACTGATTAAACAGCCCCATAGCATGAGCCTACTGACATGTGCCAGCCACGGGTGTGTAATTGCAGTGTAGACATTCCCAAAAGGCAGAATCAGGTCTAGAAATGATAAAGGAATACAGGAATTGCTCTGACAGCAAGTTGGTATAGAGATCATTCTTTTAGTATGTCTTGTCTTTATTTGATAGATGTAAGTTACACTAATAATGAACATAGCTGGGCACACAACAATTCTTAACTCCAAATATTAATTTTAATAAAAATATGATAAATCCAGAACCAAACTCAATCCCACATTCACCCATAACATGCACACCATATGTTCCAACACTTGGAAAGCAAACACCTTGGAAAAGAGTTGTTTAGAACCTGAACTGTGAATTTCCACATTTTCTAACTGTGAATGTTTAATTTTAGAAGGGACATCAGTAGCTTAAGAACAATCATCTCTGTTTGAAAATTATTTGCCTACTTTTGTTAACAAGTAACACTTCCGATTACTACAGTTGAAAGATGAGAGGAATTTTTTTTTAAATTGCGATTTATAACGGAAAGCTATGAAACTTAACTAGAGTGATCTTTGCATGGATTTTTTCCACACAATAGATGCGATAAAAACAAAAAATATATAGGAATGACAGAGTAGGTTGCAACTGGCCTGGGAATGGCAAAACATGTGAAAGGAAGCATAGAGTCAAATACACCTCTACCCTGATATAACGCGACCCAATATAACACGAATTCGGATACAACACGGTAAAGCAGCGCTCCGGGGGGGCGGGGCTGCGCACTCCAGCGGATCAAACCAAGTTCGATATAACGCAGTTTCGCCTATAACGCAGTAAGATTTTTTGGCTCCCGAGGACAGCATTATATCGAGGTAGAGGTGTATGGTAAAAAACTTAAATGAATCAAACTGTACCATAGAATCTCTATGGGAAGAAATTCCATGCTTGAGTAATAGAAGTTTAGCAGTAGAAATATCTACTGACCATATGACTATCCTCAGTATTCTTGTCCAGCATGCATCATCAAGTCTTGAGTTTTCCCTTCAGCCTCCTCTCGCCTTCCCTTCATCATCTGCTCAAATCCCCTTCTAAACTCAACCATTATTTCTAGCTGCACCACCAAACCTAAGATCCTCTCTTCCATCAGATCTATCAAGGGGCACTTCATACAAACGAATCACCTTTCAGGCACCCTCTCCAGAATGATGTACATCCTGCAGCTTCCACACCAACCTGTCTTCATTGTTTCTTCCATTCTTTAGGTCTTTGTAGCTGTCATAGCCTCCTAAGCTCCCATAAACAACAAGCAGAACAAAAAAACCACACACAAACTAGACACACCGTCCCCCAAACTCCCACAACTCCCCCGTTTTCACAGCTCCATTTGATGGTTCCTGTGCCTCTGGTTAGCCAGTTGGCTGCCTTTATACGTCTGTATATGTTTGTTGAGAGAACCATGTTTTTATGTGTGTGTTGAGAGAAGCAAAGCATTAGATCACAGCTAAACCTTGATTGGGGGGTAGGGCTTGCCTAGCCATGATCTAATGCTCTGCTTCTCTCAACACACTGCCCCCTTCCAAACTTTACAAACTGAAAACAAACTACCGAGCAAACACACTCTCAAGAACTCATTCACTGCCCCTAAGGACCAGGGGCTTGTCTCCTTTTTCCTACAACAGATCTCCACTCAAACTACCATTTTCACAATTGTTTGCTGGCTCCTGTGCTGCTGCTCCTTTGGAGGAACCACGCAGATGAGTATATGTTAATCAACTCCATCCAATTTGCCCTTTGAAATTCAGCAAGGGGAGGTGAAGAGTAAAAAGCAGAAGAAAGGAGTAAATGTGATTCGGAATATCGCTTGGAGGTATTTGAAATTGAGGGGAGGTGTGAATGCTGGATCAATTATCCAAAGAGGATCAGGAGAATGTTACCTCATATGTAGATAAGGAGGTGGTGAAGATGAGGAGTTGTCACCTCATATGTAGAGGAGGAGGAGGAGGTGGAGGTGACCGAGTGGACTAAAATAGTTGAGACTTATCCAGGAAACGGGTTTCAAGGCTAATAAAGAGAAAGCCCAACTAGTGCAGAGGAAAGTGAATTATTTGGGGGGTGACCTTAGGGGACCAAGGAATTCAGATAGATCAACAAAAGGTGAAATCATTAATGAATTTACCAAGGCCAGAGGATTCTCATGCGTTGAGGGTGATGTTAGGTGGGTTTAACTATTTAAGAAAACACATCTGGAATTTTGCCACTATAACTTGACCCTTGTGGCGTTTACTAAAAAAATAAAGTAGAATGGGAGTGGGTGCCTGAATAAGAAAAAGCTTTCTGTAATTTAAAACAAGCTTTGATGCAAGCTCCAGCATTGAAATTCTCAGAAATAAACAAGCCATTTGTGATTACGCTGGCAGCAACCCAACGAAGTCTAGCAGCGGTATTGCTGCAAGAAACTGACAGGAAGTTAATACCGGTAGCATATGAGCCTAGATTAACCCCTACGGAGCAGCAGTTTGGGATCCGTGAAAGAGAATGTTTAGCTGCTGTGTGGGCCATTGAAGCTTTTGCTTTGACTATTGGCACAGTCCCTATTATAATACAAACAGCTCACTCTCCCCTGAAGTATATTTTAATCAGGAAAACTGCAGGGGAAAGGAATATCATATACCAGGATGGCCCAATGGACCATGATGTTAACTAGCATAGATGTTACTTATGAGAATAACAAACAAGCAATGGTGTTACCATATGCTCTCCCAATAGAAGGAGAGGACCTTTGGTCTGACCTAGTAGGGCCATTCTTATGTACAAGAGGAAATACAATACATAACTAACCTGTGGAACTCAACTGATTGACAAAAGCTATTACTGAGGCTAAGAGATTAGTAGAATCAGATATTTATATGGAGACCACCACTATTTAGTTACATCAGATAGGAAAAACATTAAAATATAGGATAGAAAATTCAAGCAACTAATGAAACAATTACTATTACCAAAATAGGTTAAGACCAACTGCTATTTATTTGCAATTCTGGATCACAGAAGGGTCAGAAAGTAGGGTTCAATCATGAAAATTATGTGACTATTTAAAGTCATTACAATTTTTCCTTTTGCTGTTAACTCATTATTAAAGCTAGAACAGAAACCAATTTACAAGTGTTCCTCATGCTACTATTTATTGGGCTTATGTACTTTTAATGCCCATGTTAGCACATGCACTAGAAACAACTTACAGAACTGTAAAGGGTTATGATTTCCTTTAAGACTACTATAAGCAAGAAATATTACAAAACAGGCAAAATTCAGCTTAACCTACCTGATTGTCATTATTTAAACAGTCTTCAAGGAATTCATTTACAATGTTAGCCTTGGGTGATTGTAGAGTGTTCTCATCTTCCTCACAGTGTACAGGCACTGGAGGTTTGCTAAACAAAAAGTTAAACATGCAATTGAAAGTATGAAACAGCTTTACAAACTCAAATTGCTATAAAATACATTCACATGTCATTGGAACTAATGTTTCATATGCTTATAAAATATATAGATAACAAAAAGCTGGGAGAGGTTGCAGAGGACAGGATTAGAATGATGCTGATAAATTGGAGAATTGCTCTGAAACCAACAAGATGAAATTAAATAAAGACAAATGCAAAGTACTACACTTAAGAAGGAAAAAAAAATCAAATGCAAAATATAAAGTGGGAAATAACTGGCTAGGCAGCAGCACTGCAGAAAAGAATTTGTGGGTTAGTGGGTCACAATTTGAAATTTAGTCAACAGCGTGATGCTGGGGTGTATTAACAGAGGTATGGTACATAAGACACAGAAGATAACTGTTCCGCTCTACTTGGCACTGGTGAGCCCTTCAGATGGAGTACTATGTCCACTTTCGGGCACCACACTAAGAAAAACAATGAAACTGGAGATAGTACAGAGGAGAACAACAAAAGTGCTAAAATGTTTCAAAAACATGATCTAGGAGGAAAGGTTGAAAGAATTGGGCACGTTTAGTCTAGAGGAGAAGAGGCTGGGGTGGGGAACATGATAAGTTTTCAAATATATAAAAAGTTGTTTTAAAGATGACCATGATCAATTGTTCTCCATGTCCATTGAGGGTAGGACAAGAAGTAATTGGCTTAGTTTGCAGCATGGGAGATTTAGGTTAAATATTAGGAAAAAAAATCTTTCTAAACAGCTAAGCAAGGGAATACGTTACTTAAGGAGGTTGTGGAATCCCCATCATTGAAGGTTTTCAAAAACAGGTTAGACAAACCCTCAGGGATGGTCTAGGTATACTTAACCCTGCCTCAGCGTGTGGGGATGGAGTAGATGACCTCTTCAGGTCCCTTCCAGCCCTACATTTCTATGCTCCCATGCCTACCCTAGCCAAAATGTGGTTCAACACAAGTTCAATTCCACCACTGGTACTGACAGGTGAGCCCTGTCTGCACCACTTTCCACCACTGGTGATTAAGTTCCACTTTTTCTGTGTAGACAAGACCTTCATAGTCATTTTAAAAAAGGAGGGGGTGTAGTGGGAAGGAAGATGAGATATTAACATTTTTTACTATAGCTTTCCACTATACCAAATTCGGTCTGCTCCCTATATTTGGAACAATACTCATCTACCAATGCACCAAGAATCTTCGCTCTCCTCTTTCAAATAACTCATCAAAACATCCTATTTACACCACGGACCTCTTTTCCTGTGTTAGCTAATCCTCCCCCCCTTGACTTCATTTTCAAATCAGAACATTTAAGGTTACTTTCCCTTTCAGCGTAGGTCACATTATTTGGTCCCATAGAAGACAATCCTTTTCTGTCGGACAAGTGGGATTTTACATCCAGGACTATTCCAAACACCCAGTTCAAGAATCTAAACCCATCTCTGAAGCTGTCCAAGAGCCTCCACAGCTATCAACTTCCCCCCCCTAAACAAATGAATAATGTGTCAGTGTGTTCCCTTACATCAAAACTTTTCTTGCACTAACAAAATTTACAAAAATAGTGATACAGAAATATATCAAAGTGGTTTTAGTGAAAATAGAAACCTGATAATTGATAATATGATTGAACAGGAGACAGTAGTGTAGCACCTAATATGATAAAATATCTTCTAAAAACGCTCCCTTCTCTTTCCTTAGCATTTATATGTGGGCAAATCATGCTGATCTAAAATGATCTATAGCGGTTGTTCTCAACCTGCGGGCCGCTTGCAGCCCAATCAGCACACAGCTGCGGTCCATGTGACATCCTCAGGGCCATACATGTTATATATAAAAGAGAGAACCACTGATCTACAGCATACACACCACATTGCCTAAGTACGATGTGATACACTTTCAAGAACAAATTGTTCTAATGTTTATTTTTGTTTACTCACAAAGCAACTGGAACATTTTCCCAGGATCTTTCTGCTTCCAGTATATCTACTGTACAAGGGCTGCCATCATTTTTCAGAGCACTTGATAAATTCTCAACAGAAGACTCTAGAGTTCTCTTTGCCTTCAAGATAAGCAACTCAATCTGGTCATCTAAAAAACAAACAAACAAACAAACAAACAAAAAAACCACAACACAGTATCACCAGTTACTATACACCAAGATTCTTCAAGTCAGCAATTTCACTTTCATTATTACATGATACTGTTCAGACTTATTCTAAATAATTTGTAAGACCCTGGAAATAGCCGGTCCTCTTTCACAGACATTATTGCCAAAATTTTCAAAGTGTGATGCCTAAAATTTTGCTTAAATATGAAATTAAGCCTCTTAATATGGAACTATGAGACTAACTCTAGGCATCTATTTTTAAAAAACTTGTCATATGATTTTATAAAACATAAATAGGTCTCCATTCCAAGCTCTAAGTCCCCAGAAAAGTCTCAAATACAGTGGACTGCTCTTCCCAACATCCCAGAAGATAAAATAACCTCTACAGTAAACAAAAACTCTTTAGCCTTCAACCCACCTCAACACTTGGGGAAAAGAGAATTCCAAAGTTGAGTATCCCTCACAAAGAATGCCCTGACAACTGTCTCATGTTTATAGTGGGGGACCTCCAGCATCAGTGCCTCTGCTGATCTTTATTGTGGCTGTAGGGCAGGGGTCGGCAACCTCTGGCACGCAGCTCGCCAGGTAAGCACCCTGGCGGGCCAGGCTGGTTTGTTTACCTGCCGCGACCGCAGGTTCAGCCGATTGTGGCTCCCACTGGCCACGGTTCGCCGCTCCCGGCCAATGGGGGTAGCGGGAAGCTGCAGCCAGCACATCCCTTGGCCTGCGCCGCTTCCCGCAGCCCCCATTGGCCTGGAGTGGCAAACCGCGGCCAGTGGGAGCCGCGATCCGCCGAACCTGCAGATGCGGCAGGTACACAAACTGGCCCGGCCTGGCAGGGTGCTTACCCTGGTGAGCCGCGTGCCAGAGGTTGCCGACCCCTGCTGTGGGGCATATCATTGTTCAATTGCACATCTGTGTCAGATGTGAATTGAAGGGAAAATTAACATAGCCACAGCCTTTCCAGGCAGTCAGATGTTTCCTTCCATAATTCACTTATAGAATACAACATTCAAGATTCATTAACTTTATAAAGCACTCTGATATTAAGATCATTTAATCAAATCTACGTTAATATTGAGGGTTCTCAAATGGCTGGCAAATAGGTGAGTTTTCCTCTTCATAGTGTTACATAATAGGTACTTCAAGAAGTTCTGCTTACGCACACACCATATGTAATTACATACAAAAATTGCATTAATTAGGTTGCAAAGTCAAGCACTCGAAAATTAGGAAGGGACAGATTTACGTTTTCACGTGCAACTCTAATTCAACTACCTGTCCAGCCAGCCTCTGGACTGAGTGAGGTAGGGGTCCTGTGAAAAAAAAATAATATGTGATAATATAATTAAAAATAAATATACACAAAGGGGTGCAAACTAAAGTTATGCAGGCATCTGTAAATGACATTTCCGAACTTCTGAGTGCTTGACTTTGTCATCTAAAATAATAGTTTTAATTAGATTTTATATGAATTTCCTAGGGGTATTTTTTTTTTAAATAAATCCAATCCCAACCATACATCAACACTGCAGCACAGACTTCTACCCCTTGAGCTACATGACTAACCACATTAGCTAGCAACAGGAAAAAGCTGTTGGGCTGCTGGCACCACATGCCGGGGGATTTATGAATGGAGTCCAGATCAGCAAGCTGCCCCCGACCCTGGGAATTGAAAGAGCACCCACTCCATATGATGCTCCCAGGGAGGATCGGAAACTGGACACAAACTGGCTATGGGGTAAGCTTGGCTTTCTCATCCCTTAAGGAGTTGAGGGAGCTACAGCGCCACGTTGTGCCACCTGCAGGGATAGGGCGCTGAGTCCTTCTACCCATATCGCACAAGTGGGCACAGTAATGTCCAGCTCCCTCCATTCTCTCCTGCTACAGTGGCTCACAGGTATTCTCAGTGCAGTATCTGCTGCTGCTGTTTTGGGAGAAACTGGCAGAGGCTGGTCACAAAGGCAAACCAGCTAGAAGTGTGAAGTCAAGGTGCATAAGTTAAAACAGTGTTAACCCCGTATAGGTACTCTCATTTAGGAGTAAAGTGTCCTTTGTTCACTCTAACTTAGAGAATGTTAATATTATGGACTCTACAGCGGCACAGCTATAGTGCTGCAGCTGTGCTGCAGTAGCACCATAGTGTAGACACTTTCTAGACCACCAGGTTTTTCTGTCTCTATAGTAAATCCACCCCCTCAAGAGGCGGTAGCTAGGCTGATTCAAGAATATTTATAGTGTATCATCGAAGTCCTCCAATAATAATTATAATTAATGGAGATATCCTATCTCCTAGAACTGGAAAGGACCTTGAAAGGTCATCGAGTCCAGCCCCCTGCCTTCACTAGCAGGACCAAGTACTGATTTTGCCCCAGATCCCTAAGTGGGGCTCCCTCAAGCATTGAACTCACAACCCTGGGTTTAGCAGGCTAATGCTCAAACCACTGAGCTATCCCTCCCCCCTAAATACTCAGGAGCATGGATTTTTCACCACTCCCCCATGTAGGATAGCTGTGAATAGTCTTACTGTGCAGCGGTTCACTCTGCGCAATATAGCAGGAGCATGTTCGGTCATGTGTGACTAAAAGAGTAACATTTTGCATTTAACATTCTCAAGAAACATTCAAAACAAATCATGTGTAATGCAGTTACCTCTGAATGGCCGTTTGGACTGTCTTGAGAGAACATTGCCAGGTTGGAAGTCTGTACTTGGTCTGACATATCGGCAATTTCCTGTTACTTCACTGTCACCTGTTGGCTCCAGATAACTATTTTGTTCAAAAGAATTGCAGTCTAATTTATTCACAATGTGTTTTTTTTTCATACTCTCACACATTTGTGAAGAGGAAAATTCATCCTGCATGTTCAATGTTTGAATAAAACTTTGATTAGCTGAATCACATAAAAGGTTATGACTCTTTAGCCAGATTGGGTACTTGAAATCAGGAATACTACTTATCCCTGACACATTCAAGTCAGACTTATGGCTAGTAAGCCACCTTGGATAATTCTTGACAGAAATGGACTCAGACTGTTGTTGAAAAAGGCAATCCCCTGCATTTTCTTTAGAAAATATAGAATTGTATTTGTGAGATTTATACACATTGTGTTTCTCTTTGTCAACGTCTCTGTAATGATTTCGATTATCCACAGCGTTGCCATTGTCTTGGAAATCAAAGTCTTTTTCAATATCAAATGAAGAAGTCTGATAAGGATAGAAGGCAGGTTTTTTCAGTGACTTCCTAATCCACTTGCCACTTTGAAGCCCTGACCCAGAAGGACTCTTGTGGATAAAAGGCAGTGATCCATCTGCTGGAAATGCTAGTAGATCATCTGTGGTGAGACTAATCAAGTCTGGGTCACAAACAGTTTGTCTTATAAAAGGTGAGGCAATGGAGTTGAGTTTTACTTGCTGGTTAAAGTCCTCCAAAGCTGAAAAACAAAGAGACTGTTATATATTTTCCTAAATTTAAAAAATGCATTAAAACCATATATTTAAAAAAACCTATAATAGATACATTTTTACATTACAGTTCTTTTACTAAATTACAATGTGAATATTGTATACTGATGTTTCAAAGCATCACAGTCTATCAATTCTGACTCCACTTCTCTCAAAATATTGGTGGCAAAAATGAACAAAATAAAATCATTTAAAACTTTTGTCTTAAAAGTCCCCATGAGTCAAGATACTCGTGTTATGCCTGTGGAACTGTAGAGGGGGATGGTTATGGGGAAAATCTAGCATCTTCTTTCTGCTGTTTATATGATTCATAAAACCAAAACGGTGCACCATTCAGAGAAGTGTTTTGACTATAAATAGCCGCATATTTAAGACATCACCTGGATTGGAGGCATTATGGATCTAGAGCTTCATTTTGTTTGATGCCCAGGAAGATGCAGCTTGGCAGGGGGAGGGGAACCTGGGGGAGTTCTCAGTGAGATACAGTTTATACACCCCAATGCAAACATCACCAGAAAGTTGGTCACAGAGCAGAGGGATAAAAACAATGAAAATACCGCTAAAATATTGCTACCAAGAAGTTCTCAAACTCCTAGAAGGAAGGGGATCTAAGCTGCCATCTTTGTTTCACAGCAGAGGCATAAACTCTGATACAAAGTGGTATGGATAAACCTTTCTTTCCCCAACAGCAGTGCATTCCTCTAAAATGGTAACCTAGGATAAGGATAGGGTATACAAATCATCCTCTACCCAGAACTTGTTCATATGCAAGATCCAAAATGGAACTACTACTACTAACTGTTCTCCCTGTAGGATGTTGAATCCCCATGCTTATAAAGGTGGGCCTCCCAATGCAAACCCCTAGAAACAAATCTTGGCATATATTAGCAATAAATATTCCGGTTAGTATTTTTAGGACGTTAAAGTTGTGTCAGTTAAATACTCACTTTCTTCCTAAAGCCACTTAATTACTTGGCTTGCATTCCAACTCTAATTTCTGCTCAGGCATCCCACAGTCACTTCTGTGCCTGACTACAATTTGGGTCACAAATATAAGCCCCCTCCCAAAAAAAAGTTAAATCAAAAGCTTGCAGCCTACCTATCCCCAAAAGAAGCTCTTGGGAAGAGCTTTCCTAATTATCTTTTTTGTAGTCACACAGACAAGTCTGCAATTTGAACTCTATTTGTGTTAGCTGTTTAAAGAAGATGGCAATAAGGATTTTTTTCATATTTGTATAGCACTCTATAAACTAAACAAAGATCCTTAGCCAGAAGGGAACTTTTTTTTTTTTTCTTAAGTTTGCTCAACTACATAACCTCCCCCTGTCTTCTGTCAGAAATACTATTAATCACCCAGGGCTTGTCTATACTTATAGCTCTGCTACAGCATTTAGTGAAGACACTACCTCACCATTAGGAGAGCTTCTCCACCTGCCTGAGAGGCAGTAGCTATGTTGATGGGAGAGAAGCTCTCCTGTCAACATAGGTCAGTCTACACTGGGAGTTCAGTCGGTATAACTGTGTCACTCAGGGGTGTGGAAAATCCAGCGCTGGGGTGGGGATGAAAGGCCCAGGGCTGGGGCAGAGGATTGGGATGCAGGGGGTATGAGGGATCCAGCTGGGGGTGCAGGCTTTGGGGTGGGGCCAGGGAGGAAGGGCTCAGGGCTGGGACAGAGGGTTGGGTGCTGGGGATGAGGGCTCTGGCTGGAGATGCAGGCTCTGGGGTGGGGCCGGGGATGAGGAGTTTGGGGTGCAGGAGGGTGCTCCAGGGCTACGGTGGGGAGAGAGAGGACTCCCCCCAGCCCTCTCTTCCCTCAGTAGCACCCGAGCTCGGGGGAGGGGGAGTAGGAAAGGCCCCTCTCCCTGCTGCAGCAGCTCCGAGGCTGGGGCCACAGGATAGGTGCCCCTCGCCTGGCAGGTCCAGGCCAGGGGTGGGTTCGGGCCGGGGAGGGGTGCTTCGGCCAGTCCAGGCACAGCAGAGTTGGGACCAGGGGAGGGCTGTCCCGGCCGAGGCAGGTTGGAGACTGGGCTAGGTTGGGGCCAGCTGCAGCAGGTCCCCCAGGCGGGTTCCCTAAGTGTCTGCATGGCGCTAAGAAGGCTGCTGCGCAGCCGCGCAGCTTACAGGGAACTTAGATAACAGCGTAAGTTTGTACTGTAGACCAGGGCTGAGTACTCTATTTTCAAAGAATTGCATTCGTATATAAACATGAATTACACAGATTTTAGGTACACACGTGCACAGCTGTCCATTTTGCCCATAATACATTTCAAATGATGATTTACAGGGCGCACAGAACTCATAGGATGCTGAAACCTTTTCAGCAATTAGCTTTTTAATTTTAAAGTTTTATTGGGACACAGAATACAGCTAACTCCGATAGAGAGCGTCCAAGTTGCTATCATATGTAAATTGTAGCTGTTATCACAACATTATGTAGCACCACAAGTGCACATGGAGTCTCACAGACATAAGACAGTCTCTGCCTCCCCCCCCAAAAAATCTTACTACTTGAATACTGTAGGATCTAGCATCAGCAAAAGAAACAGAGGTGTCCAATTTTAGGGCATGCCTTCCTTCAAGGTTAGGCATTTTGCTAATCCATCCGTAATATTTCAGGCTGAATAGTGACTGACTGTCATCTATACATGAATATTAAAGCTGATTCCCTGTCTACCCCGAAGTGCAGCAAGTATATTAGAAGAGAAAAGTAGAATTGAAAGGACAAGACAATAGCCTGCAGCTACAGAATGTCAGCCTGTGATTATACTAGAACTCAGAAGCTATGCAGGGTCAGAATTCAGTCTTTTAGAAGAGATTTCTAAAATTGAGATTCTGATGCCATCATTAAAGTGTATTCTACCTTCCTAGCCAAATTTCATTTTAGGTATTTTTACTACCTAAAATCTTCCAGCAGTTTCAACTGCATAATGTGTTAATCTACTGTATTAAACACATCCAGTCTTGCAAATGTAGAACGTGCAGACATATGCTCAGTAGAGCACCACCAGTGAGGCTCAGTGCCGAATTGGGGGCTCAGTTTGTAAAGTGCTTTCAGTATCCAAGGGAAAGAGAAAATATTTTCTCTGAACAGAAAACGTTTTTAAACAAGCACTAGAATCACAAAGCTATTAAACAAAAATATCAGCCTTATCTAACCATAAACAAACTGCATGCCACTAAAACAGTTTCTCTAATTACCACCACCAGAAACTCTAGTCAGAACACCTGGAGATGTTTCTGACTAGAGTTTCTGGTGGTGGTAATTAGAGTTAACTTGAGTTTATTGGCAATCAATTAACTAACACAGCTGTAAAGACTAATGCAAAACTTCTACAAACATTTGTTCCTAGTCATGGTGCAGCCAAAAACTCTAGTTCAGATAAAGCAACAAGTAAACCCCAACTATCTGAACTGATAATACCACCAGCATCTAAGAGGTGCTCAGGCAAATTAGTTTTATATAATTCTGATATTACTCTAGGAACAGAAATTGAATCCTTGTCAAGATCCAAGTTTAGGCACTGATTTACATTATTATGTTCTATACATGCACATCATATATTGTGGAGATGATTTATATTTAATCAGCTGCAGAGCAGTAAGTTTATTCCTGTACCTATGTCTGTGTCATCAGCCCACTATCCACAAATCTATTTCCCCAGTGACTTATCCTAACATTCTTAACCTCTGATTAGCTCCAAACATCAGTTACTCATTAAGTTGTTCTACCATATTTTTTTTCCTCTTTTCCCCCCCCAAATGTAGAATTTTCCATAAAATTACACCTGCTTAAGATCCAGGACATGCAATATTCACTGTGGTATCACTGACAGGTTTTCTATTTTTAAAATAGCATTTAAGTCCATTGTGTCAGTGACATTTGCCATCTGATAAGGATACTTTTCAGCTTTTCAACAAAACTTAACACTAGTTTTTGGCTAAGAGCTCAATCTCTCAGATCTCAAAAACATATTTTCTGGGGTCCCCAGAAAGATATTTTGATTTCCATTAAGCTCACCACTGTTGGACTGATAGTAACTAAAGGCACTACAGATCAACGGATACACGACAGTAGACCCAATAACTTCATTTTTTAAAAAGTGAGAGCTTCAATCCTACAAACATACACACCCTCACTTTAAGAATGAGTAATCCCATTGACTTCAGTGGTATTACTCACATTCTCAGTTTTAAGCAGGCAAGTAAGTGATGCAGGATTGGGATCTAAAACAGTGTTTTCATCTATATATGCCACACATTATATAACAGTGGTTTTATTCACTCCCATGGTAAGACCTGCACTATATTTATGTATATGGCAATAACAGCTATTCCAAATATATAGTTTAAGGCCAAAATGGACCACTAGATCATGTAGTTAGTGCCTGTATATATTACAGACCACCACCACACTAAACCTAACAACTAAAATTAGACCAAAATTCTGTAGCCCCTTTATAATCCACCACTCCAGCAGTATTCTACCTTTTACTTATATTTGCTTATGATTTCAAATCTTGTTTTATTTACAAAAGTTTCATTTAATCTTTAATATGAAAGTAAGAGGTAAACAGCACAGTATGGAAGTGCAGTTTCACCCCAGCCCAGTTTGCAGTACAGGGGATCAGGTTCCTTTACACACCTAAAAACTTCTACAGATAGGAGATGAAACTGAGGAAGTGTAGTTAGCAGACTTCTTCCACTTCCACCATAGATCTCTAATTTCAAATTTAGATGGTTTTATTTTTAAAAGACTAAATATAAAAACTCATTTTTACTGAAGACTAACTATTACAGAGAATGAGAAGCATCACTATCTAAGCACCATTCATTATACAATATATGCTTACAATTTGTTATGTAGCAAATATTCATTAAATCAAATAGATTTCATCTACAAAACAAGTAATTAAGTTATTGATCAGTGTTAAGACTTTCAAATCCCAAAAAGGAATTAAAAATATTAAGTCTCAATAAGATATCTATAGCCATACGTAACAAAACAAGAACAGACTGAAAATTGTAAAAGATGACAGAACCAGTTCATGAGATGTTCTCTTTAGGGATATGTCAAAATATTAAACAAAACCACAATTTAAGCTTCATTTACAGGAAACATACCGTATTTTTGTACAGAAGCAAACTTTGCTGACTTATCTTTAGGAGTACTCTGACCTATGCAGATTTTTCCAGTGCCTACTTCTGAAGACATAAGACTTTGGTCAAAATCTTCAATATAAGCCTCCAAAGCCTGAGATGCAGAGTTGTATACCTTGTCTTTGTATTGAATTGAGCCGTTTGAGTTACTACTGTTAAGGCTGCAACTTGCTAGGAGAGAAGACACAGTAGATTCAGGCGAAGTAAATGCTGTCTTTTTCAAACGAGCATGCCATGGCTTTTATCCAAATGACTAATGGAATCTCCTCTCATCTTTCTGAAGAGTCTAAGTAAAGAAATACAAATATAAGCAATATATAACCTGTACTGAGATATCCTCTCATACACTGTACTTCCAAATATTTAATTTTATCAAGCATCTGTATGTTTATTAATTACCAGTAAGAGTTTCACCAATTTTGATAGTTGCACTATTTAAAAGCCAACAGATTCCATTCAGCAATTTTAAGCTTTTATTCAGCTAAAAGCCAGATATTCAATGTAGCTCTTGAACTCAGAGCTTTAAAAAATAAAAAAGTTTATGATTTATACATGTATGAGTAGGCAATATCAGAAAAACAAAGGCATTCAGAGCACAAAACAAAAAAGTCTGCATCTGGACAAAGAAAAGTGAAAGAATCTGAGTGTTCATATCCAAAAGGCACATTGCATGCTGTACGGCCACCACACTGTTAAACTAGCTTTTTCCAAACAACATTTAGTACTGAAAGACCCCAGCTAGCCCCAGTTTAAAAGCAAGAGGGGAATTTAGCACATGAATAGATTAAAGTCTGCCAGACCCCTGCCTTCAGCTGGAACATCCCAAAACGTCATCCTATGACATCACAGCTAGCACAGAAGACCCCAAAAATAATAGCGCAAAATTGAAGTGATTAGTAAAAATGTTTTTTAACAGTATAAGCAAGTGGTTCAGTTGAATATACCACAGTGATAAAAGCACTGTCGTTGCAGAAATTCAAGAACAGTTTAGATGCAATAGGACTGGGAATGGTGTATTAAAGACCCCTGCCAACTACAGGTGTGGGGGACACTGGACAGGCTCTAAGAGCTTTTCAGGTCCTCCGTCCTACCTATGCAATTAAGATCAAGCCAATTTATCACAATTCCATGGACTGACATTTACTGAAGGGTCATAAACACAGACTAGCACTAAATGCTGAAGCTGGGATTTTCAAAGACGCCGAAAGGAATTAAATCCCATGGGAAATAGGCACCTCGCTTCCTTTAGGCTTCTTTGAAAACCACAGCCTCGCCCAAGCTGGCACCTCACACGAGAGGCAGGGCTGTTGCCCAGCCCCGACCCCCACCGCCCCCAAAGACCTTCCGCCCCGCTGCCCGCTTCGCACCTCGCTCCCCGCTCCGGCCGGGGAGGCTACAATGCTGAGCCCCGAGGAGGGGGGCTTGGACACCCCGCGGGGGCTCTAAGGCACCATACCCAGCCGGGACAGTCAGCAGCGACATCTACTCTCCTCAGCACCCCAGAGCCGCCGTTGCCGCCCGCTAGTTTAAAGTACAACGACACTTCTTTCAAAATGGCGCTTGGCTAGTCACTGCGCAGGAGCACCCGGTCGCGCTCCTTCCTGGGAGTTGTAGTTTACCTCCTCCGTCTGAGCCAGCTGGGGACTACAACTCCCAGAATGCCCAGCGGGCCGTTGCCACACATCGCCGCGGCAGGCGCACGCTGCTGTGATGCAGAGAGCTGAGCTGGACTCTGGGTGCCCTGCTCCTGTGCGCCAGGAAAAGGATCCACTCCTCGCTTAAATCCCTCCTGAAAACTTACATCTTCAATGATGTCTGTAATAGAGGACCCAATAATATGTTATTTGTCTATCCACCCATCAAGCCGAGCCACTAAAATGTGCCTACATGCCTAGATCACTGCACTGAGTAACCCTCCTCTTTCTTCATCCCACCGCCATGTCCCCGTTGCTGTCCGTGCAGATTATGTACCTCTCTCTCCAGGGCCTTATATGGCCCTCATCGCAGTCATAGTGATTGCGATACCATCGGAGCACCCGCGCACACCTGCCAGGGGCGTGGAAGGTGTTGCCGCGGGAAGGGTTTGCAGCAACGCCTTTGCTTTCCTCTACCCCGCTTGCGCTAGTGTGAGGGGCGGACCCCGCCAGCCAGGCCTGGGCTGGGTGGCGAAGTGGTGCAGCAGGGAGGTGTTATGTCTGACACACCCAGCCTGGCTGCTGTGGGCGAGGCTGAGCTCCCTTGTCTCCTGCCTGCCCGCGGTTTGTGCCCGTGGGTCCCCGTATTGGTGAACCGGGAAGTGGGCGGGCTGACCCCGCGGCGCACACAGTGGGCGTGGCTAGGCAGAGCTGGCGGGTGGGTTCCTCGCGAAGCGCGCGCGATACCCATCCCGCGTCAGCCAGCGCCGGGCTGAGCTCCGCGTGCGGGCCGGTCGGGGAAGGGACGGGAGCTGAGCGGCTCAGTCCGCCTCTCCGCTGCGGCGGCTGCATGGAGCTCCCGGAGGAGGAGGAGGAGGAACTGGATTGGCTTTGCCCGGAGCCTGGCGGTCCTTGGAACCATGCGGCGCCCGGGAGAGACTCCGCCACCACGCTCGGAGCACAATGTAAATACGGGCCCCGCGGGCCGCCTCGCACCGAGCACGGGGGCTGGAGCTGTTGCCGGCGGGGAGAATCTGGAGCCCGCCGGGCGGCCAAGTCAGACAGACGTCGAGAGCTGGGGCCTGGCTACGACTGTTTGTCCCGCCCGGAACTGAGCGACTCACCCAGGGATCCGTTCTGCCCCCTAGCAGCGTTCCCCCGGCGCCCCTCTGGTTCCCCCCCTTTCCCCCTCCTCCCTGTTTCTCCCTCCGTGTCCCCCCTGTCTCCGCACAGCGCCCCTCCTATCTCCCCCTCAATGCCCCCCCCCATCAGATTTTGGGGCTCGTTCAAATGTGGAGCTTGTCAGAAGTCGACTAACTTTTTTTAATATAATTTTGATGGATAATAACAATGCTTATTTTTAAGCATTTTCCTAGGTTTTAGCAATTTTTAAATTTTCACATTTGGGGGATTTTGGGGGGGGGGGGGCTATAACAATGTGGGCTGTGACCGAGAATAATATTTAATGAGAGTAGACTGAGTGAGATTTAAAAAGTTAAAGCTTTGTAACAGTTAAAACACACATTGCCAACATCACCTGTCAAAATATATAAAGTAAATATTCTCAAATCACACACTAGTAAATTCTCAAACAGAAATGTTGTTACTTTGCCTGTCTGTACATTTCAGTTATTATCAATGGAAATATTTTTGTTGGTTTATGTGTGTATGGGGAAATCAGTATTTACCTACACAAATGTAATGCCTCCAAACCTATTTAAATGTTGACAGTGTAGCTGAACTCAGGCATCATATTTGCTTGTAAAACACCACATCTGCTTGAAGATAATATAAATAATATTAGCTAGAAAATGGTGCTGCTCCCAGTGCTCAGTCCTGTTTCACATTAGGAACATGCAAAAAACCAATTCAATGAAATTAGAAACCTTGGCTTGAAGCAGTTAAATGTTGCACGTTTCAGCACATTCTCATATAACTTAAAGTGCATTCCCTTTCGTCTAAAGAAAACAAAACAGAAGTTTCCAGAAGGGGGGAAATCTGATATTTTTTGCGTATTAAAATGTAGCTTAGTACACTTTTTTCTTAAATGTTCCTAAGAAAATTTTCATCTTTGGGTCAAGAACCAGCATAACTGATTTAAACTTTAAGAAATATTTTTTTTGAAATTATATAGTATGGGCCTTACTATATAATTTAAAAATATATTTCTATAAAGTTTGCTCTTTGCACTTGACAGCATTTTTGCTCTCTGGTTGATGATCGGTTGCATCGCTCATGGGCTGCTAGTAGGTGGAGTTCATGTGTGCATTCTTTCATAAACAGGTTTATTTATTTAAACCTGTAGCAGCAGAAAAGCTGAAATTGTAGAGATACTAGGCAGGTGTATTCTCAGAAAGAGGTAGGAAGTATGTTTGGTGTTGTCACTTTTTTGTGCCCACCCACTGGATGCTTCTAAATAGAGCAGGAAAATTCTTATACATTTTCTAGCATTAATTAAAATAAACCAAGGCATACAATATAAAGAGTGCTGTATCAAAAATATAACTTAATAAAATTATGCAGTAAAAAAGAACCGAGGTGGCACTGGCCATCTAAAAGAGGTCTTCAGGATGTAGTCAGCAGTATCTTTTACTGATACCAATCCACTGTGCCAATTGGCTTCTGACCGAATTAATGTACCGTTTATAAACTCTCTAATTTACCACACAGTGCTTGGTTTCCAAGCATAGTTTTCATGTGTGAGATCGTTTGCTGCATTATTGACAAGGGTAAGAAGGATGTTATCATCTCTAAACTTGGTTGTATATTTTCATTGCAGCAGGTCATGACAAGACTGTGCCATCAGGAAATACAGCGCACAGGGTAATTGTGCATACTGACCTGGACTGCTTTTATGCACAAGTAGAAATGATCCATAATCCTGAATTAAGAGACAAACCTTTAGGTAAATGTATATGTTGCTGTTTATTGCTGTTTGGTTTATGTTTATGTGGTTGGGCAAGACAAAAATACTTTTTTTACTCATACTCTGGTCTTTCATAGTTTACTTCATTTGGTTGTAAGGTTCATTTGAGCTTAAAGCTGTTGGTACTATTGCATGTGAATTTACTAATCAATGGAAAAAAGAGTGAAGTAAATATTTTTTAATGATTTTTATACTAATGCAGATGTGCCCATGTATAGATCAGGTTGCATGATAAGGGTCAAAAGTAGTGAGAATACCTTTTAATAAGTGAAAAATGAATATGGCATTTAAGAAAAAATATTTTATTACCATAAAATGTTCTAAGAACATGAGCAAGGGTCCTGCTTCCTTCAGTCTTGCACAATAAAATTAGTGTGTATTTCTTCTTAAAAACAGTATTACATTTTTTACTGATTGAGGGATTTGCATTACAGGCTTTGATAGCAAAGTGTAAATCAGTGGCATAGAAGTACTGTAATAAACAAGTGACTCCTTAAAATGTGTTATGATTTTCTACCTTTGTTTCCAGGTGTTCAGCAGAAATACTTGGTTGTTACCTGTAACTATGAAGCCAGGAGACTTGGACTTCAGAAATGTATGTCTGTCAAAGATGCTAAAGAAAAATGCCCAGAGCTAGTGCTAGTTAATGGAGAGGACTTGACACGATACAGAGAAATGTCATACAAGGTTACAGGTACAGGTTAACAGTTTTTTAATAGTGGGAAATAAGTACTGTACATATACTTATTATGGTAAAAATATTTTCCTGCATAAACATTTCTGATTTTATATGAGCTTTAGAAAATTGTCATAAGGCTTGTAGGGGATGCCATCTCTGTCTCTGATTCCATCAGATTTCACAAACTAAGCAGTTGGGCTCAGTCATTATCTAGATTAGAGGTGCATGCTGGATTCAGCCAATTTGGTGAATTTAAATGGCCTGCATGACTGTCATAACTATAAAGGGAAGGGTAACTGCTGTCCGGTGTACAGTACTATAAAATCCCTCCTGGCCAGAGACTCCAAAATCCTTTTCCC